CATGAGCGTGAATAATATCACATGTCTTTGCAGTGAATAGTTCCCCCTACTGGTAGTTTAGAGAAGTGGATTATTGATGATCTTCACTTCGAAACAACTTGTCACTCTCCCAAATTAAAAAAAAAAAGTATCTCCACATCTCCTAATTTAGCAGTCATCCTCTTTGCTCCATACACTTTTTCCTTATAGAACTATTCTGGTTCATTTGTTCTCCTACTGAGAGAAGAAATTCAATTTCTAAATTTTCTCTTTTCCCAAGGAGTCCTGTCTTTTTACATAAGTTTTTGCCAGTAATTAACTCAGTGGACAGCATCACAATTAAAACCACGCAAGTTGTGATTTAAGATCTTTCTATAACTAGTGGTGATATCCTAATCATAAGTTGCAAGAGGGTGGGGGTGGGGGGAATATTTTTAGGTTATTAATTTTGAAGTTTTTGTGTTAGTATTATTATAACTGAGAGACATTGCTGGCAAACTGTCTGGAAATGAAAAGTTTTGATATGTTTTGGGAAGCCTTAGGTTTTAGGAAATACCTCTGCTATGTGTCAGTGCCTATTTGAAGCTGCTAAATAGGGCTGGTGGGGATAGGTTAATGTGGATTGAGTGGGCAGCCATAGAAAGGCCATACCCCTTGGTCCTGATCACAAGGTAAAGCCCCCTGTTCTCTTAACTCTGTATTTTTTGTTGTTGTTGTTGTAACCCAAGAAGCTTTTATCGCTTCTCAGCCTTTGCCTGTTAAATCCAATGCCACTCATAAAACATTCAGAGGCACAGCATTACTGTAACATTCTCCAAAGGGACCTCAAGGGCGACTATACAGTTACAGTGATTATTACACATCCTGTGCAAGATTGTTCTCTGCAAACCATATATAGCTCCTTATAGATTTCTAAACAGCATGGGAGACCATTAATTCACACCCTGATGATGAACTTAATTTTGTTTCCTGCTGAGCAAATGACTGCTCAGAGGCAACTTTGTCTTATTACAGAATGGAGATTTTCTTTTGTGTGTGTGTTGTTTTTTCCCCCTCTCCCCACTTGCTCCTCCCCCCATCCCCTTCTTAAATTTGTAACCCACTAGACATCTTTTGATTTATTGCTGAATCTTGTTAGAGCTCAGGGGCTTCTATGAGTGGGTGAATTATATAATGGCAATTGGAACAGTTTCACCTGCTATGTTAGATGACCATGTACTCACTTGAATAGGTCACTTGGCTAAACTACCATCCTGCTGTGAAAGGCTGGGGTGGGGGTGAGGGAGGGAAGAGACCTTTTTTGTTAATTGCCCATTGCTCCAAAGTTTAACATAGGAGGTTTTAAACTATCGATAGCATGTCTTTCTACATGTCTTTCTACTCTTTTGCTTTCCTAAGCTCTTGTAGTAAAGTCAGTTTTTCTGTTAAAACTTTTAATTTGTTTTCTTATTGGAGGAGAAAGAGTACATCATTTTTCCTTAATGTGATTGTGCTTAAATTCTCAATTCCCAAACCTTTCATTTTAGATCTCTGTTTCTGGACACAGTACTTAAACTCAGGTAATTCCCAGATCTATCAGTCCAAGCCCTAACCTCTTTCCTGACCTCAGGTCTCACTACTTTTTGAATATCCCATAGATACCTTAAATTCAGTATGTCCAAAGGAGAACTCATTATCTTCTCCCCAAACCCTCCCCACTTCAGAACTTCCCTATTATTCTTAAGGGCACCACTCTATTCCCAGTTACTCAGGCTTAAAATGTCACTGTCAACTTTGACTACATTCACTTACTCCACATATCCAATCTGTTGCCAAGTTTTGTTGTTTTTACCTTCCCCAAATCTCTCATATGTAGTCCGTTCTTTCTACTCACATAGCCACTACCCTTATAAGGCCTTCATCACCTCTTGCCTGGACTGTTGCAGTAGCCTTCTAACAGATCTCCCCTGCCTCAGGTCTCTCCCTACTCCACTTCACCCTCCACTCAGCTTGCCAAGGTAATTTTTTCTAAAGCTTAGGTTGGACTACATCAGCTACTTTTCCACTCTCTTCTCAGTGAGTTCAAGGTACTCTCTCTTAATTTCCAAATCCAATGGTCTTTTCTCAGTTCTCATTCTTCTTAACCTTTCTGCAGCCTTTGACACTGTTGCTCACTCTCATCTCCTTGATATTCTCTTTTGTCTAGGCTTTCAAAATAACCACTCTATCCTGCTTCTCATCCTGCCTATCAGACTGCTGCTTTTCACTCTCCTTTGCTGGATCCTTATCCAGGTCATAACATAACCATAAGTGTCCCACAGAGTTCCAGATTGAGCTGTCTTTTCTTCTTCCTCTATATTACTTCACTTGGTGATCTGATCAACTTCCATGGATTTAATTACTATCTCTATGCTGGTGGTTCTCTAATCTACCTGTCCTGTCCTCACCTCTGTGCTGACCTCCAGTCCTGAATCTCCAGCTGCCTTTCAGATGTCTGGAACTGGATGTTCAATGAACATCTTAAACTCAACTTGTCCAAAACTGAACTCATTACCTTTCCCCCTAAATTTTCCCCATCTTCCAAATTTGCCAATTACCATGGAGGGCTTCACCATCTTCCCAGTCACCCAGGCTCTCAACTTATGTATCATCTTCAGCTCCTCACTATCTCTCACCCCCCACCCTACCCCCATATCTAATATGTTGCCAAGGCTTGTCGGCTTCAACTTTGCAGCATCTCTTGAATATGCCCCCTTCTCTCCTTTGATATGACCACCACTCTTGTGCATGTCCTCATCACCTTCTGCTTGGACTATTGCGGTAGCCTGCTAATTAGTCTGCCTGTCTTGTCTCTTCCCCACTCCAATCTATCTTCCATTCAGCAACCAAAGTGATTTTCCTAAAGGATAGATCTGACCCTGTCACTCCTTCCCACCACCCCTACTCAGTAAACTCTAGTGGTCCCCTGTTACCTCTCAGGAGCAAATGCAAAATCCCCTGTTCAAAGCCCTTCATAGCCTACCTCCCCTTCCCTTACTTTCCAGTCTTGTTACACCTTACTCCTTGCCATGTACTTTTTTTCTTGTTTGTTGTTGTTTTATGAGGCAATTGGGGTTAAGTGACTTACCTCAAGATACACAGCTACTAAATTGTTATGTGTCCGAAACCAGATTTGAACTCAGGTCCTCCTGACTCCAAGGCCGGTGCTCTATCCACTACGCCACCTAGCTGCCCCTACCATGGACTTTTCAACCCAATGACACTGGCCTTGTTTCACAAAGAAGACACTCCATCTCTTGGCTCTGAGCATTTTCTGTGGCTGTCCCTCGTGTCTGGAGTGCTCTCCCATCTCATCTCTGCCTACTGCCTTCTATGGCTTCCTTCAAGTACCAACTAAAATTTCATCTTCTACAGGAAGCTTTTTCAAACTAACCTCTCTTAATTATAGTACCTTCTCTCTGTTAATGATTTTCTGTCTATCCTGTGTATAACATATTTGCTCGTTGTCGTCCCCATTAGATTGTGAGCTCCTTGAAGGCAGGAACTATGTTTTGCCTCTTTTTGTATCTCTAGCACTTTGTACAATGTCTGGTACATAGGAGGTTCTTAATAAATGTTTATTGACTTACTGCTTCCTATTACCCCAAGTCCTCTGGCATTTAAAACTTTTCATAACCCAATCACTTCCTGTCTTTCCAGCCTTCTTGCAGTTCCTGTCTCCCAGCCTTTTCACTGGCTTACCCCCTTCCCTGGAATGTTCTCCTCACTCACTTCTGAGGTCTCTTAGCTTCCCTAGTTTCATTCAATATTCAAATCTCACTTCTCCAGGAGCCCCTTCTCTGGTCTTTCCACCTGTTAAATGCCTTCTTCTTTCAGATCATCTTTATCTACTTTGTATAGATCTTGTATGTACCTAGTTATTTATGTGTCGTCTCCCCTATTATAATATGGACTTCCTGAGGGCCTTTCTTTGAATTCCTATCACTCCGCATAGTTTCTGCCACTTGAGAAGTATTTAGTATGTGCTGTTTGATTTAATGACAGTTTACTCAAGGTGCTTTGCTTCCAAAGTAGAAATGAGTTTCCCCATCTTTCCTTCTTTAGGTAAGCCATGTCTCCGAAATAGTGAACAGAAGAAATTACCCTGTTTTACTGTGTTTAACTTCTTTTCCTAGTTACTTCTTTGGTCTCTATCATATGGAATGGGCCCCTGTGACCCCAAGGCCCCCAATATGAAGTGGTTTCCTAAGAAAATGCATCGTGACACTGTGCTGAAGGCTATTTATTTCCCTTAAGAATGACTGGTTGATATACCAGTGACAATTGCCGTATGAATCTTTTATTTATTTTGATAGCAACATATATACTTTGTAACATGAAAGAGGACTGGGAAAGGTTAGTTTTGGCAAAGTATCTGCCCTCCTCACCTTTTTTTTTGTATCTTCTCTTTGTTGAATCATCAACTGTTTCAGGTTAGTGAGAACAAAATTTTTTAAAACTATTTCATTAATTCCTTTAAGCAATCACTTCCTTAGTGGTTCTTCTCCCCTTGGGGTCCTCTCCCCTGCCCTCTCGGTGCCCCCAGTCCCCTCCCCCCTTCCATTGAAAGGTTTCAGCATTTTTGCATGATCATGGCCCCCAAAGTTGGAGGAGTATAGGGACCATGGATCAATATGGAAATTTGCTCCAATATTAATTCTATTAAAATACTTAGAAACTTGGACCAGTCCAAGAAATCAAAGGTGGGCCTATGCTGCCACCTGGTGGTGTGAGCTTGTTAGTGAATAGAACTTTGCCCATTCTACATTCGGCTAGGTATAAATTGCATTTTGACATTTTTGATGTGACTATGCATGAAAAATGACAGTTTTCTTTACTTCATAGCTGCTAATGATTGAAGGAGGGCGGAGAGAAGCTGACTGGCCTCTGCCATTTCCTGGTGAAATGTGATTACAGCCCAGAAAAATTGTCCCAATTCCTTTTGTTGATTGACAGTGCAGCCATGTGGAAACCATGTTCAATTAACTGTGCTATGCTTATAGTCCAGAACCCAGTTGTTGAAGTGGCCAAGGACAACCGAGATAAGCCAAAACTGCCGAACAAGAAAGATGAAGCAGAGCCACCTCAGATCAAAGGTCCTGTGAATGTGCCCCAAAGGGATGAGCGCAAGGAGAAGCAGGAGGAGGTGCAGCTTGATCGTCCTGACCAAGGTAGTGTGCTATCAGGGCTCAGGTGGAAAGTGTGGGAACAAAGAGGGAGAAGTTTTATACATACCCAAGAAGGATTTTCAGTGTTTGTGATACTTTCTCTTCTGCTTTGTTAAAACTTCTTATCATTGCTACCCTTTTTAGCTTTTGGATGTCATTGACTCCCGTGTAAGCCAAAGCAGCTTCTTAGTAGCTGCTCATTCTCTGGTCTGCAGGTAATAAAGTCAGTCCTTGACTCGTCAACAAGTTATATTTGTAAGAAGCAATAGCACACATTGATTTGTATTCTTCTAGAGATTGATTCTAGGCTACATTCCATGCATTAGCTGGTCCCTTATATAAACCAGGTTCCAAAAATATTTAATGAATATCATTTTAGGTATTGCTTTACCCGTGGGAGAGGCCCACCGCCATGAACCTCCAGTGCCACATGATGAAGTTGTGGTAGATGAGGGTCAAGACAGAGAAGAACCAGAGGAGGAGAAACTCCCATCCAAAGATGAAAATGCCCTGGGGGGCCAGAAGGACCAGGAAAATTCTGAAAAAGAGGAAAATGAGCCACAGAACAAAGAGAAGGAGGATCAGGCCTCAAAAAAATTGGACCATCCCCCTGAAGGTCTTCAAAAGATCCTAGAACCAGATGGCCAGCCAGCCATTCAGCCAGCATATGAAGACGTAGGGCCAGGCAATAAAGATCTTCAGCCAGGGGCCCAGGTTGTAATTTCCAATGACCAGAAGAAAGCCAATCCTATGGGTGAAAGGGAGAATGCAAATGATGTTCAATTGCCAGGAAATGTGGAAGAGATTATTAAGTCCATGGAAAAGATTGATGCTGGTAGGTATCATCCTTTGTGACTCATCTTGGCAAATTCTCCTCCCCTTGTTCTGTACTTCTTCAGGACTGGAAGAAACTGGGTTGGGGAAATGTCCCCTATGTCCCAGTGTTTCTTTTTCACTTCACAAGATTAGCATGTGAATGTAGCAGTCCCTTCAGCAGCTGTTGGGGAAAACGAAGAATCTGGTGGCTTGACAGCTACTATAATATCTGTCAAACAATTGTTTGCTAGACTACTAAATGTCAGGTGCCATGCTGTTCTTGTGTGTCTGGGAGCACACTGGGGACAAAGAGCTAGGAGCATTTGACAGGTAACACATTGTTAAGTGCCCATCTAAAAGCTAGTTAGGACTGTTCGTGCATTTTAATTGGCTAAGGTGGTTAACTTTGGCTTGCTGCCACAAGTCTATGAGATTGTTAAATATTTTTTTATTACTTCCCTGGTGATCATCAGGTTGAATATAAACTGTGCTGACGCAGAGGGGAGGAGGGGAGATATAGAGTAATTTTAGAAAACATCTGCCACCTTCTTTTGTTCCTCCTTCACCTTCTTTTCTTAAAATAAATAAATAAAACCAAAAAAACACACACAACCAATGAGCCCGTGCTCCACTTCTGCAGGTGGGAAGGCTCTTCTCCCGCCAGAGAAACCAGAGCTGGTCATGGGACAAAAACCTGAGCTGAGAGAGATAAGAAATGTTGAAGGGCAGCAGGAAGACAACCCAGGCAGCAAGTTAGAAGGTAAGTTATTTTTTAAAATGTAAATTTTCTTTTTATTATGGACTTAACAAACACGAATATTAGACTATACAAAGAACAGCAGAAACGATTGTATGTAAACTCAACTTCTGTGGCATAGTTAATTTTTTAAAACTGCCTTTTAAATTGAACGTTATGGTAACAGAACTGTTCCAATTCTGTGTCCCTTTCTAAACTTGCTCTGCTCGGAATTTTTAAATGCTTCAATAACTTTTTTTTATTTCTTTGCTTTTTTTTTTTGCATCACTGTCACAACCCATGAAACCTGCCTCTAAAACAAATGAGTTGAACAAAACAAACCAGCACATTGATTGTGTCTGAAAATGTATGTCTCAATCTGTCCCTCTAGTCCATTACTTCTCTGCCAATCAATTAAAAGGCAATTATTAAGTGTGTTGTATATGCTAGGCATGGTGCTAGGCACTGGTGGGGAGCGTGCTTCGTCATTAGTCTTCTGAGGTCTTGATGGGTGAGTATGTATTAGAGTGCTAAAATCTATCAAAGTTGTTTATATTACTAATGTCACTGTATAATTTGTACTCATCACTGCATCAGTTCATAAAATTCTTCCCTGGTTTCCTTGAACCTATGATTTTTATTGTTTTCTTACAATTTCTTACAGTGCAATAATAATAATAATAATAGCTAACATTTGTATAGTTCTTACTTTGTGCCAGTCACTGTGCTTTTACAGTTATTTCAATTGATCCTCACAACAATCTGGGAAGGTAGGTGCTATTATTATGCTTTTTATGCAGATGAGGAAACTGAGGCAAACAGAGGTTAAGTAATTTGTTAGTCACACAAGCCAGATTTGAATTTAGATTTTGAGTTCAGGTCTTTCTGACTGTAACTACTGCTCCACTTTCACTTATATACCACAGTTTGTTCATCTGTTCCCTAATTGGTAGGCACCTACTTTGTTTCCTCTTATTCATTACAACAAAAAGTGCCTCTATGAATATTTTTGTGCATATGTATCTTTTCCCTGTGTTTTACATCTTTGGGGGTATATTCTTAGTAGTGATATTTCTGAGTCAAAGAGTCTGCGTAGCTTAGGGACTTTTCTGGTATAGTTTCATATAGCTTTTGGGAATGGACCAGTTCACAGCTCTCCCAACAGTGAATTGGTGTGCCTATCCTCCTACTACCCCTTCATCAACTGCCATTTTCCTCTTTTGTCATTCTTGACAATTTGCTGTATGTGAAGTGGAACTTTGAAGTTGTTTTAATTTCCATTTCTATTGTCATTAGTGATTTGGAATACTTTTACATAAGGTTATTTCTAAAAAATTTATTTTAAACATTTTTGATATTAGGACTTTGGGCTCCCTGGTAAGCCACTGATATAAGTATATATCTGTTTTACAGTCAAAGAGGAACAACTTACCAATATCTGTCTTTTCAGTTGAGGAAACATGCTAATAGTTCTCCTTGCCCTGTTCCCATTGACAGTTTTTTTCCTCCAACACCTTCCTAAGAAGATTTTTGTAAGAAAAAAAACTGTCACTGTCACATGGCTTTTAATTACCATTTTTGTTTTATCTTAAATCAAATATGCTAATATTCCTCACACTCCTGATATTTAAAGCAAACCAGGTGTGGAAGAATTAATGCATCCAGATGCAGGAGACTTATTTTAGGGAAGATAACTCCAGGTGACCCAACTTGTGAAGCTTTCTTTTTTTTCCTTTTAATCAGTTGCTTGATTCTCTGAGCATACTTCTAGCATTTGACTCTTTCTGACATCTTCAACATCCAACTTCCTGAGAGATTTGCGCTCACTTCAGGTGAAGGAGCAGCAACTTGACCCTAAATTCAAGTGTAGGATGCTGCTATTACCTTTTCCTTCAAGTGAGCAACTTTTGTTTGAATCTACTTTGTGTAATTTGAGACAATTTTCCAGCATTAATTCTTGGAATCCCTCAAAATAGGATCTAATTTTCACCTAAACTAAGAGTAACAGCTGTTCTTTTGGCTCTTTGATTCCTTTCTTTCCCACTTCTTCATTGTCAGACTAGACAAAACTCTTTAAACAAACTTTTATTGGGGAAAGAATTGCAGGTGAACTGGTTCCAGCACTGAAAAATATACCCCTGTGGGACTCTTCCTTATACCACCTGGAGAGTAAGTAACTAAATACATCAGTAGAGTATCAGGAGTTTTTTTGGTGGTACATTGGTTTCTTTTTCTTTTTCTTTCTTTCTTTTTTTTTTCCTGTGACAATAGTCATAAAGACATCCTCTTTCTCAAAGTAATTTGGTTTCTGCATTCTATTAACTGGGAATAATATCTGGATTCATTTGTCCTGTGCAGTATTTTATGCCTCTCCTCTATCACTTGGCCTGTCTGCCTTGTTCTGGTCAGGCTGTATGACTGGTGAACAGCTGCAGAGTTCTCTGGCTCTTCTTGTAGAGTCTTCCCAGAACCACTCTTCATTGGCCATTTGCAGCAGTTGCAACCATAATTCCAGAAGTGTTCAGTGGTATAACACCTAGGGAATAATAAATAGCCCATACCCCTCCCCTGGGCATTGTACCATTCACATATACCTTTATTTCCTCTGGAATGTGCTCCCTAACATAGTTCCAGTACTTTCAGATCCCCATAGAGTTCAGTAAAAGATTTAATGAGTTAAGTCTGGTCCATTTAGGTATTTTGTCAACAATACAGAAACAAATGCAAGCTCTTCAGAAAAACTGCATCCTACTGACCTTTTTAAATGATTACATGTTTCAGAGGTGTAGAAATTGTGTGGATGTTTCTGGAATTGAACAGTAGCTTTTAAAAATATACATATATAAGCATTGTATTTATGTACATTCATATATACATTTGTTTTCAATCTGGTATCTGGTTATATAGATTGGTTCCAGTTCCTGTAACTAACCTCTTAAGCCTGTGTGATGCTTTTATTTTTACTCTGTGAAAGAGGGAGAGACATTTCATGGTTTCCTAATCTGTTTCTCTTCCTTATGCCTTTCAATGGAACTGAAACAGCTGAGATTAAAAAGCTAGTAGCAGGTATGAATCAAAAGGACTGTGTTAAAATAAAAAGCATATTTACTCAGGATTTTAAAATCAAAGAACAACATCTTAAATTACAAAGATGATAATGTGCACGATTTTGTAAGTATTCTGCATGAGCATGTATGTCAGAACCTCATAAAGAGTAATAAACATTAAGTTAGTCATCTTGAATATCACAACCACAGTCCTTCTCCCCAACACCCTACATGCCCTTACCCTTAACAGGCATTTGTATATATGTAGATAAGCTCACCATTTCTTAATGGGTGAATGTACTCTTGCCACCACTTTGCATAGTCAGAACTGTTACAAGCTTGTAAACGAACCTGTTAGAAACAGACCACATTGTACAAGTGACGTTGCTTAAGACATGTTTCAGAGAGATTAAAGTTGGAGGAGGTAGACAGGGATCCCTAACTGCAAATTCTACTATGTCCCTGGAGTTGTATTAATATATTCTGCTTACATGTTAATATGCAGGAATGGCTTTCATTCCATCAGTAAAGCTTTGCTCTGTGGTCCTCCTGGGTAGGAATCTTGAGCTGCTTGCTTCAGAGTCCTGGTTTTTAGAGAAAGCTTGTCATCTCTGCCTTGTATGAAATCCAGTCAAGCCATGGAATACATTGTTTGCTACCAGACTTGTAGCCCTTTGTCTTTTAGCTTCTTAGTCTACCTTTGACTCTTTGTGAGGTTTCTGAGATGAGTCTAGGTTGTGGACCCTAGAATATTGGCCTTTATAAAGTAAAGGGAAATGTATACAATTATGTATATACTCCCTTACAGGAGGCTTTTCTGTTATAATAGTTGACTGCGATAACAGTTGACAGCTACTTAAGAACTAAGAAAATGTTAATTAAACATTTGTTTTAAAATATACAAAGAAAGAGTTGTAGCTACTTGGGCATTCTTTGAAAAGGGTTTTGTTCTACGCTAGAGCCCCCAGCCATCAGAATTTTGTATTCCCTGTAATCTTTCATGTAAGGTGGATTTTATTTAAATGAAAGAAGTATATTTGGTCAGAGGATATTACTAATGAGACCAAAGTTGTAGGTTTGAGCTTGTACATACTAGTTAACTTTATTCTGTTACCCAGGCACAGATTGTATTTGTAACCCTGATCAGTTTTCTTGGAAATTTATGCCATTAGTAGAATGGGAACTGTGTGAGAAACTGTGTATGCATTAGTGCAAACCCATACTCACTGTTAGAGACAAAACAAAACAAAACTCAAAGGTGTTTTATTACCATTGTAGCAGTGTGGTTTTGTGTAGGACGGATCTCTTGCCCTCACTCATTATTTTACCTTCTGAATTTTGGAGTTCACATTTCTTTCATCTCTAGGCTTCAGAGTTCCCAGATAATGCATATTCCAGCTAGTCCTTATTTAAAGCCTCTTGACTTAAGCAGCTACATTTTAGGAGCATCGGGGACTAAAATGAGCCTATTCCTGAGAAGCCAGTCTTCACTAATATTTATAGGGCCCATATGCCAAAAGTACAAATAATATACATCCCTGTGCCTTAAAGGCAGTAGTGTAATTAACCTAACATAGGTAAAGGCTAATGCTGTTCAGTTCTTAAAGAGCTCTTGGAAAAAGATAGCAGTATTTTCTTTAGTCTTAAAGATTGCCCAGAGTCTCTGGAGAAGAGGACCCTGGTTTTCTCAAAATTTATTCCTCTTTCTCCAGTGGGTCAAAGAAAAAAAATTAGATTTAAAAAAAAGTTTTATCTTATTCTTTTTTTTTCTGAAGGTGAAGCAAAAGGATTGTCCCATGTTATTAAGTCATTAAAACATTCTGAGTTTATTAGAATTCTTCATTCTTAGTATTCATTTTGATTGAGTTTAATTTTGTTGTTTCTCTAAACTACAAATTGGTGTGCAAGTAAGAGACAAAAACAACAGTTTGGTCACTACTAAGAGTTGGGCTTTTGCCCTGGCCTATAGGAAGTGTAAATTAATCTGACGATCAGCTTGCCAGTCCCAGAGTACCTCCATACGGTATGTCAAGTAAATGAAAAGCAGCTTCTTTTGGTCTCACCTGGCATAAGTTATTAACTTTGAGTGAATGGGTTTATAACTATTTGCAAAACTGAGGCATATAAGAAAATTGTTACCTGTGGGATACCACTCAAAGAAAGCGAAGTTCTACAAATAACCTTTCTACAAATGGTCCTCATGTCTCTAGCAGTCTGTTTTTGTTTTTGTCTGAACGTCAGAAGCTGGCAAGGCAGAAATGCTTGATCATGCGGTCCTGTTGCAAGTAATTAAAGAACAGCAGGTGCAGCAAAAGCGACTGCTGGACCAGCAGGAGAAGCTGCTTGCTGTGATTGAAGAGCAACACAAGGAAATACACCAGCAGAGGCAGGAAGAAGAAGATGATAAGTCAAGGCAAGGTAAGGCTGTGGGCACAGATTTTGGTGCACTGTTGATCAGAATACATGATCAGGATCGTCTAGTTCCTGCTGAAAGAAGCACCCAAAACCAATTTTGGTGTTTAGCATGTGAACTTGGCTTTATAGACTGATTTTCCCTCACTACCCATTGTCTTTTAGTCCATATTTTCTGTACCTTAATTTTATTAGTGTCACAGTTTGATGACAGATTTCAGTTATCTGAAGTGCTGTGGGGCATCTTTTATTTTCTATTGAATATTTTTATTTACCTGCTGTTGGATTATTTTCCCCTCTGTCCTTAGATCTGTGTTTATTTGCACCCACTGTATTAACTTGTTTTGTTTTTCTGCCATTAGAAATGCAGCCTGAAGCAGGTGCTGGCATTCCTCTGAATATAGAGAAGCAAGATCAAGACTCAAAAGTTGGGGAATCAGTCAAGAACATTCTTAGACAGGGTTTGGAAGCTCCAGCCCATCTCAGAGAGCAGCAGCACCATCCTGGTGAGGAGCCTGATGGGGCTGTTGTGAGGAATAGAGCTCCTTCTTCCAGTGTCATCACTGGCATAGAGCCCAAGGCCAGGCCCCAAGACAGCAGGAAGGATGATGTTCAGCATGACTTAGCCAAAGCGGGGAACACTGACGAGCACCTAGAAAACGCCCTTCAGAAGAATTTGGGACAAGCTGGTATGAAGCATCTTGTTGGGCCTGTAGGAAACCCAAAAGAGAAGAAACTTGGAGTTCAGGAATTGCCTAGAATAAGTCAAGAACAAGCTAGAGGCTCCCAAGAAAGAAGGAAAGCTGTGAAAGGGGGAGTAGTACTTCCTACGGCAGTCATCCCCAAAGAGGAGGGAGCTGAGATTGAAGACTCTGAAGTGAAGACCCACAAAGAGAGCCAAGATGGAGGGTTTCTAGCTGGTTCTCCAAACAAATTAAAAGTGACCATCCCTCAGCCCCAAGAATCGCTCCATCAGCAGAAACGCCAGAGCACTTCAGATATCGACAGGAATGATGGCCTTAAAGGGACTCACCAAGACCACCAGTTACATCACGAGAGTCATGTGGAGGGAAGAAAGGATGCCCTTGCTGCTAATGGCAGTCCCGTTGTGGGGGACCAGCAGAGACCAAGGGAGGAGAACGGTCAGGATCCTGAGCAGCCAGAACCTGAGCATGGACTAAAATTGCCCAATCAAAAGTCTGATAATGGAAAACTCAACCGAGACCTAAAATCTCAAGTTGGTTCTGACCTTCGGAGGAGACGGCGAGATTTGTCGTCTCCTCCTCTGGAGGAGACAGCTGAGAAGGATGGTGTTCTCATCAGCTTCAACTCCTTGCCAGCTGTGAATATGGACAATCTGAGAAGTGCATTGGAGACTCAACTTCACCAAGCTTTGCAGGTTGTTCAGAGCAGACAGATTAAACAGTTGCCAGTGTCTCAGAAGGAAGTGTGATCTGTCCATGCTAATGATGAAAACTTGTTTACCGTGGCTGAGCTGAGAGGCCATGGGCATTTTAACATTCAGGAAACAAGCTGCTGTGCCTGCCCTACCTTTTATACTAGCTATGCTATGCTTGATGGGTGGAGCATTTGGGGAGAATATTTGTGAATTCTGGGTACCATAATTGGGATTATTTCTTCTGTTGATTTTTTTTTTTTACATACTCCAATCTTTGCTCAGTGCTTTCAGAGAAAAATTCACTTGTCCTTTGACCCCAAAGATTGCTATGCTGTCCAAACCTTAAGCTGCCATTTCTTAAGGATCTCATGGCATTGTATCACAGAGAATTATTTCTTCTTAAACTTTTCCTTACTCTACCTGCCTTGTGGCAAGTGGAAAAAAAAATGTTCTCTAAATTTTGTTTGCAAATCTGCAGCACTTTATTGAATTCGATAACTCATGAGGGAAAATTGCTCTGTACATTAGCCACTTGAGATCTTATACAGTCTTTAGATTTCTGAGGAGGCCCTTACCCTATTAAAGCTTTTAAGTTAAATTAATAACTAACCATCCCAGTTTCTGCTGATTTTTTTTTCCTTTGCTTGTTTCTCTAACAGACCAATTCCTACATATATGAGAAAGGAAGCCCCGAACATAATGCATGTAAAGTGCTTTATAGAACTTAAAGCACTGTATAAATGTCTACTCATGTTATTATTAATTGCTTAATCTAGTTATATGTTGAGATTAGCCCCATAGCATTTGATATACTGAGATTGACCAAATTTGTAGTTATAAGATTTCTTCATTTCACATAGTTTTTTCTTCCTCTTGAGTTCATATTGTGAACATTGTGACTAAAAACACTTAAGTTCTGCACTTAAGAATTTTTTTTTAACCAGACCTTGATTTCATTGCTGTAGGGAGCTCCCAGTGAGAATTTTCTCTACCAAGAGATCTGTATACTTTTCACAATTTGTGGTCCCAATTGCTTGGTACACCTAGAGATTAAGTGACTTGACCAGGGTCACACAAGTAGTATATGCCAGAAGTGGAACATGAACTCAGGTCTTCCTGACTTGAGGCTAGCACTATGGCCTTGTGAAAACCACTTGATAGTTGAGACTTTAATAAGTTTGTATCTGAATTAATGAATAAAGGCAAATATCTATAAGAAAGATAACATGGCATAGTGGAAAGAAGGCCAGCCTGAGTCAGGAAGATCTGGGTTTCAAGTGTTACCTCTGACACATACTGGCTTTGTGACTCTAGACAAGTCACTTAAACATTCAGTGACCCTCAACAACTCTGTAAGACCATAAGTTGCAGAAAAATTGCCAATCTACATCTATTGATCATATTTCCCCACTAGGAATTACACATACTAATGGAATCAGATATCTGAATTCCTTTCTTGCCCCTTGTCCAGTATTGTATGTTTTTTTTCAAAATCAGTCTGAGCTTAGTTTTTAAAATATAAAGTACCTTTCGTGTCTACTTAGATAAGTCAGTTTAGTATTGAGGTGAAGCACTTTTTTTTAAAAAGAAAAAAAGTTCCACAGTTCCAAGTGGGTTAAGAACAGAGATGATGGTATACTGAGACTTTTTAAGTTGAAATGCATAGTATACATAATCTAAATCCAAAAGGACACAATTAAACTCTAGCAAATCTAGTACTGTGATCCAAAGTCACTCTCCCTATTAATGCTAGGACTTTATAAACAGGAATGGCCTCAGACAACTTCTTTGCTTCAGGAGAGAATGAAGATTTTTTTTTTTTGGATGTTGCTGGTACTTAATCCATCTGGAAAAGAGGAACTGTAGAAAAACCACCAATAACTGTCTTCAACACTTGCTTGCTCTAATGTATATTTCCATCCCAAACTATAATCATCAATCATCCTTTTTCTTTTTTATATCATTATAGCCATCTTGGCCTTGATCATATGAAGTTAATCAAGGAGATTCTGGATGTGAGTTTTGTTATCAAAGAAGCACAGCTAATCTTGGAGTTAGTTTAAAAATTTTTTTCATCTTTTTCTGTAGGGGCAGAAAAGCTTGTGATATTTGAGAAAGCCTCCTGTTCTTTGTGTCTCATGAACAATGCAATTTAGTCATTTGATTTACCTGAGTGTCTATTGGGATATGACACACAAAACAGGACGTTTTGCTCTCAGCTCTAAAAGCAGTGTGAGGAGGGGCATTGTTTCATACTGCCACTACCTTTTATGGTTCTCTAGTGTTAATTAGGTAAGAATCTCTTGAAGCTTTTTGGGGCACGTCGGCATATGTTCACATTTATTATGGGAAACATTGAAAAACCATGTGATAAAAGTCTGTTCTGTTTTGTGCATTTTGGTTGATGTGATGTTTATGATAAAAGGACCAAAGACACTTAAAACATTTCTCAGAAAACTTAATGTAGCCAAGGGTGCTTAGAAAATATAGCCTTGGCCTTACGAAGGGGAGACAAGAGCAGGGAGCCCCTTTCATCCCCAACTCTACCTCCCCCCACAGTTTTTGCAGCAGTTTTTTAAAAAATTTTTTTTATTTAAAATTTAACTTTTTATTGATATTTTGTTTTTACACCACTTTAATTTTCCAGTGTATCCCCATCCCTCCCCTTTTAAACCAAGAATAAAAAAACAGCAAACAGTTCAGCAAGACTAAGCACATCAATCAAGCTTGATATATGTAGGGTTTTGCACCCATCATTCCCCACCTTAATAGTTTTCACTTTTATTATAACTACTTGAACTCAAAGGCTTAAGGAAAAAAGCCAGATCTCCAAAAAGAACTGAAGATTAGGAAATGAATTTTTTTTGAAGTGAAAGTATTTTGAACTGAGCTATGGTTGTTGAACTACAGTTTTCATACACAATTTCCCACAGAGTTTTTGGTTGTATGTGTATATGTGTTTTAATAAACACACCAAAGCAGTCATATGTTGACACACAATTCCATTGATGTGTTCTTTTAAAATTGTGACTTTGATCATTGCATTATTTACAAAGAGATTTTTCATTGATACTTTCTTGAATAATTTAACCCTTTTCTTCAATTCCCAGGATTAGGCACCCTGATGGGTCTCACTTTTTTCCCAGGTTAACTCAGTGGAGTAGAACAGGAATCCCAACCAGTTGGGCAATGGCCACCCTGTCCCAGGGCATTTTTACTCATGGAGAAATTGGTGACTAGAAATCAACTATCAATTCAGTTAGAATTTATTGAGCGTGGAAGGCACTGAATACAATTAAGATCAAATTGTCCCTGCCTCTGAGGAGCTTACAGTCTGTGGGAGAAGACAACATATGCATATATAAACATATACAAAAGCAAACCAAGGTAAAGACAAGGAGGCATTAGGCAGTGGGGTGATCAGGAAAAGCCTCATGTAGGCAGCACCATAAGGAGAAGTAGTGACATGGTCAGATGTGTGCTGGATTATCACTTTGACAGTTGTTGGGGGATGGATTGGAAAGGAAGGGACTGAAGGTAAGAGAACTAACTAGGCTATTTCCATCATCCAGATGACAGATGATGAAGGCCTGAAACTAAGGTAGTGGCTGTGAGAAGAAAGTAAGGGGCAGATGCAAGATATGTTGTGAAGGTAGAACTTACAAATACTTGGCAATTAATTAGTGAAGAAGAGGGAAAAAAAGTAAAAGGTGGCTCCAAAGTTGTGAGCCTAGGTGACTGGAAGGATTGTGGTCCTCTCAACAGAAATGAAGGGGGAAGGATTGAGGGAGAAGGAAATATGAGTGCCATTTTGGACCTCTTGAGAGATGCCTTTAAATAGAGCACCAGGCCTGAAGTTAGGAAGACCTGAGTTCAAATCCAACCTCAGACATGTGTTAGCTGTGTGACCCTGGGCAAGTCACTCAACCTGTTTGCCTCGATTTCCTCATCTGTAAAAAGGGGATAATAATAGCACTTCCCCCCCTGGGTTGTTGTGAGGATCAGATGAGGTAATTGTAAAGCATTTAGCACAGTGCCTGGTACAGAGTAAGTGCTATGTAAATGTTTTATTCTGTATATGCATTTATATATATCTGTGTGTGTGTGTGTGTGTGTGAGAAGAGAGAGCTAGAGCAGAAGAGCAAGCTTCATCTCCCTGGACTTCATTTTCATCATCTGTAAAATGCAGGTGCTGGGCTAGCTTATAAATTCCCTTCCCATTCCCTCTAAATCCCATGATCCTACTATTTCCAAACACACACCCTTCACTGAAGCCAAACTCACGGACCATTAACATACCATGGTGATTCTCACCTGTCTGTGTGCATTTAGGCTCTTGCCCCTACCTAGAATGCCCTCCCTTTTCTTGTTAGCCATAACTGATCCCTTTCATTTCTGACTTCCTGTACCATAGACTTTAGCACTTGATTATGTATTGTTATTTTCTCTTCTGGTTTTTATCTCCCTGACTAGATTGCTCCTTGGACAAGACTAATGTATTCCCAGTGCTTGGAGCAGTCCTGAATACATACTCGGGACTTCTTAAGTACTTGATTGATGGAGGGAAGAGAACAGATGTGAGATTTCAAAGGCATAATAAGGCATGATAACCCAGTGGATAGTGGTGATGAAGGAGTCTGAGAACTCAGTTGGCTCCAAAATATTGAACCTCATTGACCAGGAAGAATGAGAATGGTGGAAATACAGGTTAGTAAGGAGGATCAGTTTGGGAGCATTGGGGAAGAAGGAGAGAAACTCAGTTTTGGAATTAAAATCCAGACAATTAGAATTTTAATGCTAAGATGATTGATTTGGGGAGTTGGGAGATATTGGGGTGATAGTTGTATCTTGTAGGTTAATTTATCAGGCAATGAGTGTAGAGAAATAATGGCCAGAATTTATGTAGTGCTTTAAGGTTTATAAAATGCTTTATAAATAATCTTATCTTTTCCTCATAACCTGGAAAGTAGATGTTATTATCCTGGTTTTACAGATAAGGAAACTCAGTTCTTCCTGGCTTCAGGTCTACCAAGGGGTGGTTGAGATCCAGTTAAGAGGGCAGGAAAAAGAAGACGTTTTATAAAATTACAGTTTAGGCACGTTAAAATCCAAAGCTAAAACAGGAAAACTATATGGGGATTGCCAACATCACAGTGCTTGTGGAAGAGAAAGTGCCTATTACCAGAATTGGAAGATGCTAAACTTAGTAGCTTCACTGTGCCTGTACCTTTCCCTTCCCAAGCCAAAATCAGTATTTATGGTCATTGTGTAGTACATAGAAACTGCTGTAACATCACTCCCTCATCAGTAGTAAGCAGGAAGGGCTGCTGCCAAGTACCCAATCCCAGAAATGCATTTGGGGATCTTTTAGCTCTGAATTTCTGTGGTTACTGTGAAATGGGTACACTAAGTAACATGATAGAAATCTGTTACAGTAGCCTTTGAAAAGTGATAGGCTCAGAAACATCCTGGAGCTGTATGGCCCTTTTAGCTGCTTCCCATCGCCAGGATCACAAATTTGGGTATTTAAGCACTTCTTTTGTTCCTAGAGTAGTTTTGAAGTAAGATTCCTAAGTCAAAATAGGACAGTGGGCAAGGGAGGCAAAACTCCGGGATTATAAGCTCACTTTCAATATGAACACTGGGATTCTAGTAACACTTCAGATCAAAGGCCATTGACCCCACTTTTGTCTTAAAACAGAGGTACCCAGCTTCAATGAAAATTTCTTAGATTCACTAGGTAAGTAATTGAACTTTCCTTTGCTTAACCTGGTATTATGGCTTTATGTTCATCAGTTAGATTTTTTGAGACTATTTTACAGGGTTCAATTCAATTGATAGATCTAGAATGAGAAGAGACCGCAGAGGCCATTTGTCCTAGCCTTTCATTTTAGAGATGAGGCACGTGAAGCCCACAGTCGGTGAGTGACTTGCACAAGGTGACACAAATAATGTCCAAGTTGGAATTGGAACGCAGGAGTACTTTTTCCACCGTACCATTCTTTCATTCTTTTATTTGGCAAATAAGTAGCTTATACTCTATGCAATGCAATGAAATACTCTTGGACCACAATATGCAATCAAAACTTTATGGTAAGACTAAAAGGATACAGTGCCTTACAGCTAATTCAAGTAAAATTCTATTCCTCTCAGCTTCTGCATTCAATCACAGAAATAGCAACACTGGGTCAAAAAAGTATCCCCACAGAGAAATGGGGATTCTGATAAATTTCTCAAGGCTAGACATGCTCCAGGTACTCCATACCAACTGAGTCCCAAGAGCAGCCTCTAAGAGGAAGCTAAAATAAAGACTTCCTACCACACCCATTCCCCTGGTGACAAGGTCTTCTCAATCCTCCAGTGCAGGGGTTGGCAAACTCAGTCATACAATAAAACCTTATTTTAAAGTATAAAGACCATTCTCATCTTGCTGGCCATACAGAAATGGTACAGATCCCTGTACCAGGGAATCTTGCACTGCTAAAAAGGCCTTAAAGTAACTGACCTTGAGAGAAGCCTAGCATAAGCACTACTAGACAAGCATTACAAGTACAGGTAATAAAAATACAAAACATACAAAATGTCCTTTAAAAAGCAGAATCCATGCAGTGGGGGTAGTAACAGGCAGTTCACAGATGGTTGACTTCCAATGTTAAGCAGCAACAGTAAATGTGAAGCCAGGAACATCAAGGCCACAACATTGATGATGATACCTCCACCACTGTTACGAATTCCCCCAGATTTAATGACTGAATTTTCTTAGGGTTAATTTCCCATTCCTTGTTTTTTATGTGAATGAATCACGGATGTAGCATTGCCTGGTGGACTTAATGCCTTCAAGAAATGGGGCTTCTTTTAGGTCTGTTCAATTGTTTCAGTCGTGTCCCACTTCATGACACCATTTGGGGTTTTCTGGGCAAAGATAGTAGTGTGGTTTGCCATTTCCTTCTCCGACTCATTTTACAGATGAGGAAACTGAGGCAAACAGGGCTAAGTGACTTGCCCAGGGTCACACAGGTAGTAAGTATCTGAGGCCAGATTTGAATTTGGGTCTTTCTGACTCTAGGTATGGCACTCTATCTACTGCATCACCTAGTTGCCCATCTTTTAGGTCAAATAACCATGAGGAAGGACCAGGAAGGTATACTGGGGTCATTCCCACTTAAAAGCAAACTGCTCTTGATTAGTCTCAGCCATGGTTTTTTTTTTTTTTTTTTTTAAGGTATTGGTAAACTCAGTAAACCCATATCACTCACCGGGAGCCTAAGCTACCTGGACCACCATATTGGCAAGGTCAGGAATAGCCACAGCAATCAGCAATGTTACCCAATTTCCAATAATCTACTGTAACCCCCAGGTAACATCCAACTTCTTTAGCAGCCACATAGGCTTATTATAAGGAGAGTTGGAATAACTTTAGCCTCCTTCATTTTCATTATAAGGAAGGAAATATCTTTCATCCCCCCTCCCCCCCCCCCACATTTTTAACAATAGGATGGTTCGGGCAACTCCAAGGGCTTCCATTTTGATTCCATTACTTTGTTTTGCTTAGACTATTAAAATGTTGATAACCATCAACTATTCACAATAATAGGCCCAGAAAGTACCATAAACACTGTACAGGTACTGCCTCCTGAGGATACATACTATCCATATTCATGACACATACTTCCTCTGATTTGCCACCCCAAAACTAGACTTTTTTTCTCACTCATCTCTCCTTGAATAAAGATGCCCTTTCTTTTGGTCTTCCTCTCAATCCCCCTCCAGTGGTAACTAGGGTATCCCTATGGACCCATTGAGGGTCCCTTGGTGTAACAGTAGCCTGACTGCCAGTATCTAGCAGCCCTTTATAGATCTGGCAGCACTCCCTTCCTCCCTCTGCCTCTCCAGATGGCTATGGTAGGACCTTTAGGCCCTTCATCAGTCTACAATTACAACAGCACAGCTTTAAGGAAAATAGCCTGATAAGGGGTTCTTAACCATTTTTTGTGT